CACACACACACACACACACACACACACACACACACACACACACACACGCGCAGGAAAACAGCACGAAACAGAACGCAGCAGATTTAGCCTGCTAACCACCCACAAGGTTACGAGGGCAATTCCTGTCCCAGCCAGAGGGATTCTGGGAGATTTACTGGAGGCCAAAGTGTTTGTTATTCTGTTCCAGCAGTGTCTGAGTTCTGTATGCACGCACGCACGCACGCACGCACGCACGCACGCACACACACACACACACACACACACACACACACACACACACACACACACACACACACACACGCTTGGTCCCCATATATAGAATGGTACATTGCAACACAGGAGGGAAAAGGCACACACTCACATGAAAACTAAATGTCGGCGGCTGTGAAACTGTCTTTCTGCAGCGTGTTTTGTGTCAATGGGCGTACCTGTCTCCTCCGGGGAGTTGCTCTCCTGGGACAGAGTGGTCCAGCTCAACTCTTCGTCGCTGGGGTTCAGATTCTGGATGCGGTTCAGAGCGCAGTCCGTCTTTGCCCCCGTCCGTCTGTCCTTCTTTGTCTCCGGTGAGGAGGAGGAGGAGCAGGAGGAGGAGCAGGAGGCCACGGAGAGCAGGGGGGCGTCCTCCTGGCTGGCGTGCTTGGGTGGCGAGGGCGGAGGGGGCACCGGCGAGTCCTTGCCGCCCGATCTGAGGAGCTTGAGGTTGGAGCGGAGGTCGGAGATGAGCTCCAGGCCCGGAGAGACGTCGCACTTCTGCGCGGGAGACTCGCTGCGCACCGACAGCAGAGGTTTCTTCTCCCCGTCTTCCTCCTCCTCCTCCTCCTCCGCCACCGCATCCTCTCCGTCCTCCTCAATCTTCATCTTTGACATCACCTCCTTCTCAGACAGGATGCTGATGTCATCGCTCTCCTCTGCGTCGATGTTCAAGTCAAAGTTTGTTGTCGTGTTGCCGTTCAGTTTGAGCTCTACGGTCGCGTTAACGTCACAGTCCATGTCTGATTCACTTTTCTGCTCGGGCTCCGCGTCGGTGTTTGAGAGCAGCTCGACCTCCTCGTCCTCCTCCCGGTCGTTATTGGTGAGAGCGTGACCCTCATCCTCCTCGGCCGCGTTGACATTGAGCTCATCCGCCATAGCCTCGGAATCCAGGTCCGTCGTGTTCTTGTTGTGATCCTGACCGGCTTTGCGCAGCTGGTTCGCTCCGTTCTTGGCCAGTTTGGGATTGTTTGGGGTCGGGGACCGCGATGGGGAAGACGGCGAGGATGAAGACGGCGAGGATGAAGACGCCACTGCCGCCGCCTCCCCGAGGCCCATCGCGGCCTGGATGCTAGTGAGCGCGTACTTTTTGCGACACTTGGGAGGGGTGGCGGAGCCCTGCCGGACGACGTCGCCGCTCAGCAGCTGGTTGTGCGAGGAGCGAAGGCTGAGCGAGGTGGGAGGCGTGGCGGCCGGGCAGTTGCGGTTGGTCACGTCCACCGACATCATCACGGCACGAGACGGGGTCCCCTGAAAGAGGGGGAGAGCGGGAACATGAGCACAACACAGTCAGCTTTCAGTCTCATTGCTTACTGAGGATATGTTCCAATATTGAAAAATGTTATTGTTTATTGTCATGCACCAATCACCAAGCCCAAATCTTTGTATGTGTAACATATTTAGCAATAAACCGTTTCTGATGCAAATATTCACTGTTGGCTCTCTACATGAGAAAGAGTTAAAGAACAGATGTTTAAGTTTACAGTCTTTAAAGGGGCAAAAAGGAAAGAAATATAATGCTGGCCTGCAAAATATACAGTGTATACTATACATTTTTAAACCCAATTGAAAAAAGAAAAAAGCTACAGTCGTGGATAAACAATGATGCCTAACCTCGGGCTGTTTTTCTTCTGGTTTGGTTCGCACAATCACAGAAATGTAACTTCTCATCCTAGAGCTATAATTAGACACTCAAGCCTGCTGAACGCATGAAAACATCCTTTAAAGAAAAGTTGGATTTTCTTGACTACAAACCCAATGAAAAGATCAAAACTACTAACAAGTGTTGCCTGTTAAGCCGAAGCCTGACACAGTGTATACTTTCCCTCCTGGTTCTCTAAATACTAGTGCACCAAATCCACAGCTGGAAATAGTACCCAACAAACACACTATTTATCCTGTTTGAGTAGTGTTTGCTAAAAACTACAGTACCCAGCTGTTCCAGGAGAACCACGGACAAAGGGGTCAAGGTAGGGATAGGAGAGTATATCGAGAGAACGCAGGGTTGGTTTTTGGCCTTCTGCGTGGGATGTGTTGACGATAACTAAAGTGCAGACTACTGCCAGGCTTACATTCTACATTCCTGAGAAATGTCACCATAGAGCAGCGATGGAGAACCACTCAGCATGAAGAGCTCTGAGCATGGAGGGTTATTTCTAGTCCGACTGACCGCTGAGCACAGCATGCGTGAAAAGCATGTGTGTGAAAGCGTGTGTGTGAAAACGTGTGTGTGAAAGCATGTGTGTGAAAACGTGTGTGAAAACGTGTGTGAAAGCATGTGTGTGAAAGCGTGTGTGTGAAAGCATGCGTGTGAAAGTGTGTGTGTGTGTGAAAGCGCGTGTGTGTGTGTGAATGTGTGTGTGTGAAAGCGTGTGTGTGAAAGCGTGCGTGTGAAATCGCGCGTGTGTGAAAGCATGCGTGTGAATGTGTGTGTGTAAAAGCCTGTGTGAAAGCCTGTGTGTGAAAGCATGCGTGTGAATGTGTGTGTGTGAAAGCCTGTGTGAAAGCCTGTGTGTGAAAGCATGCGTGTGAATGTGTGTGTGTGAAAGCTTGTGTGAAAGCCTGTGTGTGAAAGCATGCGTGTGAATGTGTGTGTGTGAAAGCCTGTGTGTGAAAGCGTGTGTGTGAAAGCGTGCGTGTGTGAAAGCATGCGTGTGAAAGTGTGTGTGTGTGAAAGTGTGTGTGTGAAAGTGTGCGTGTGTGAAAGCATGCGTGTGAAAGTGTGTGTGTGTGAAAGTGTGTGTGTGAAAGTGTGTGTGTGAATGTGTGTGTGTGAAAGCGTGTGTGTGAAAGCGCGTGTGAAAACGTGTGTGTGAATGTGTGTGCGTGAAAGCCTGCGTGTGAAAGCCTGCGTGTGAAAGCGTGTGTGTGAAAGCGTGTGTGAATGTGTGTGCGTGAAAGCCTGCGTGTGAAAGCGTGTGTGAAAGCGTGTGTGAAAGCGTGTGTGAAAGCGTGTGAAAGTGTGTGTGTGTGTATGTGTGAAAGCGTGTGTGTGAAAGCGTGTGTGTGAATGTGTGTGTGTGAAAGCGCGTGTGTGAAAGCGCGTGTGTGAAAGCGCATGTGTGAAAGCGCATGTGTGAAAACGTGTGTGAAAGCGTGTGTGAAAGCGTGTGTGTGAAAGTGTGTGTGTGAAAGCGGTTGTGTGAAAGTGTGTGTGTGAAAGCGTGTGTGTGAAAGCACGTTTCTCGTACCTGACAGGAGGTCAGCCGTGGACCGGCGCTGGTCACGGTTCAGGGTTCAGTGGTGGTCAGCTGCAGATCTGAACACCACAGAAGAAAAATAAAGAAAATAACGATCAGAAGAAGAATGCAGAGAATTCTTGGTACTCCTTGGGTTGCCCTCGGAGACCACATCCACCCGTGTAGAAACCCGACTACAGCTGGTTTCTATGGAGACGACATAACACAGTGAAGGGACTCCAGACACTGTGACAATCAGAAAAAAGAGGCATTCAAGGACCTCAGACAGAGAGGTAAACAATTGGTGGGGGCTGTTTGTTCGGTGAAGAATTGCTCATCTGACTGTACACACGTGATCAGCCACTGAACGTACAGAGGACAGTGCTTTCCCTGTCAATCCAAATCAAGAGTATTTCTTTCAATACGTTTTTCAGGGTCTTCCCTGTTTAGCAGTGATGCTAAGGTAGCGGCACACAGAAAGGTGCTGCCAACCTGGATATGATACTATGCGTTTAGTTTGGAGTTCATCCAAACCAGTGGTCCCCAACCCCAACCGGGCCGCACAGAAAGAATAAATATTATATTATTTCCGTTTTATTGATTATCAGAGCCTGAAAGAAGTTTTATTTTGAAAAATGACCGGATTCTCTCGCAATTTCATACGCCTGTGCCTCTTGACATGTCAAGACGCTTGTCTCGGTCACGTGATACGTTACCTCAAAAATGAAGCCCGCAAACTAGCGAAAATGAGTAAATAACTTTTGGAGAGCTTCTTTGCAAAGAGGGAAAGGCCCACTAAGGAGACAGAAGAAGAGCCTACAACTTCCAAGACAATGAAAGTTTCATTTAACAGACAATATCAGGAGTCTGATTAAATATCAGGAGTAATTCTGACGAACCAAGCCCGCTCTGCAGTATATGTGGCGACAGAGGAAGATCAGCTGCTGGAGATTGTAAATGAGGATGGCCTTAAAAGTATGTTTGAGACAACAACTCTGCTGGTGTTTGGATTAAAATCAAGGCTGAATATCCTGAGATCGCCACTTAAGCACTGAAAACCCTGCTTCCATTTCACACATCCTCTTTGTGAAGCAGGATGTTCTGCAGTGATGGCAATCAAAACAAAATTAAGAAGTAGACTGGACATAAGGAACACACTTCGGGTGACATTGTCTCCCATTACCCCCAGATGGGACCGTCTCGTTGCAGAGAAACAAGCTCAGGGCTCCCACTGATTCAGCATTATTGTGAGTTGTATTTATTTATGCATTTTATATTTGTTTTCATGGCGATCGTATCATTTTATTTCGTCGTGTTTTTCCGCCACACCTTGAAGGCCGGTCCGTGAAAATATTGTCTTACATGAAACCGGTCCGTGGTGCAAAAAAGGTTGGGGACCACTGATCCAAACAACAACAAGGCCTCAATTTAGCTAAGGGCTCCACCTTAGATTTTACATTAAAATAAAACATACCAAGTTGAAATAAGCCCTTTACGCAGCTGCGGACTTACCGGAGACCTAAGGATTGTGGGAAACTCCAGGATGTCGCGCTTCCATACTGGTAGCCAGTGGTTGTCTTTTTCTCATCCAATCACGGGGGCTTCGGCGAGGCAGCGTTGTCCTGAGGGAGAAGACCAACATAAAACAAGATTAATGAGAGAGGGGGGGGGGGGGGGGGAAAGAGGACTGCAGGACACCAGCGAGACAAATAATAAAGATGCATTAATTATTTACAACTTCGATCAAACGCTAATACACAAGGTGTGTGTGTGTGTGTGTGTGTGTGTGTGTGTGAACATGGGGCTCATTTTGTATAGAGCTCATATTTCTTTCTTTGGTGCAACCCTTCACTGACTGGAACCATCGTAAACTTAATGCCACAGGAGACTTGTAAACACACACACACACACACACACACACACACACACACACACACACACACACACACACACACACACACACGCACTACTGCATAATGCAGTCAAGACTCGTGGACAGTTTCTCACCAACACACAACCGCTATGAGTAGTGGAGGGAGAGATAATAAGCATAGTCAGAATAGACCGTAAGATTCCACTTCTCCCCGGCTGAGTGGCTGGGAAAAAAAACACCTGGAATGATTTGGAGGAATGAAATGTCATCCCAATCACATGGATCCGTCAGCTAAAGTATGAGCTGACACTGACCAGTGCAAGGATATTACTCCAAATGATGAGTAATTAATCAACCTTGTTTAAAGAGCCAATCAATTACAGCCACAAATCCCCTGCAGCCCTGAACGCCACAGTGTGCCAATGACTGCGGGAACATTCAGACATTTAAGTGCACGAGGATCGAGCTTTCGTCAGGGTTTTGGTAATCAGGCAAATTCTCAGTTGGCAAACGGCAGTGAATGTTCCTGGCCCAGACACTGAAACTGATCAGCTAGCTGTTTTAAATGCAGCAAAGTGGAGATTTACCCCACACTAATTGCTCTCATTTGTCTACAATGTGGCAGAATTCAGTGTTATGATTCATATGAAAAAAGAAAGGAATTAAAAGTTCTAGTCAGTGGACAGAATGGCAAATTGAATCCCTCATCTGTCAAGCTACCTGCAGTGCTTTGCGTGAGCTGTTGCTTCCCTGGAGGAGAGTTTAGTGATTAATAGTTTGTCCCCTTCAATAAATACGGCATTAATAATGTTGCTATGTAATTAGCCGAGCTATATATTTATGGCATTTTGCATGCTTAGTGGATCCATCGCATCTTGTCATAAGTACACTAAGCAAATACAGTTTAAGCTACTGTTTTCAAGCCTGTGGATAAATGGCAACATCAGGCCACGTGTCATGTCATCAAGATGTGGACATTTAGAGAGAATCAAAATGCTAATTGTTTTTATTGCCAACTCCCAAAAATGTCCACTTAAAGATAGAATAAATAACAATGAATCTCCAGGCCTACATGACCTTTATTTTTTTTCCGGTTTATGTAACTACTCAAAGTTATGAATAGTGCATACGTCTATGAGTACTGAACCATTTGACTGTATGTTGGTAAGCAGTGTACAAAATTACCGGTGGTCCCTCCTACCTAGTGCTCCAATGTTATGCTGAAGCAGCCCAGTTTCTTATCAGGTTGGGAAATAGTCACAAAATGTAATCTATTGATTTTGTGTACATGGACGACAATTGGTCAAAGCTAGTGACGTAGCATAGAATTATAATTAATAGAATAGATCAGAGTTCCACAACACGTTGTAGTTTTGTTGCCTCAACCTAAACGTTCGTAAACATTTTCCTTAACTTAACTACGTGGTTTTGTTGCCTACACCTAATGTCCGTGACCGTTTTCGTAAACCTAACTATGTGGTTTTGATGCTAATACATAATGTTTGTTTTGTTGCCTAAGCCTAATGTTTGTTTTGTTGCCTAAGCCTAATGTTTGTTTTGTTGCCTAAGCCTAACGTT